TTGTAATCGTACGATACACAACGCGCCGCTCTACCCAGGAAATATCTCGCCCAACTAGTACTATCCTTATCCGTTTCCTTGGGCGTTCCTTCCCTACCACTCACTCCCAATCTCTCACAGAGCCATGGCTGCCACAAATCTATTGCGTTACTTCCACCGGCCTCCTCCTCTACCCAGCTCCTCGCAGCTGACCCACCGGCAAAGCTCGCTGCAGCGTGCTTCCGTTGGGGCCTCCTCCTCTACCCAGCTCCTCCTTGCTGACCCACCGGCAAGGCTGGATGCGGGGCGCTGCCGGTGCTTGGTGTTGGTCGTTTAGGTGGTGCACGGTAGGAGCGGGGAGACTATGTGCTGCGCGCGGCCGGGACGGCGCTGCCGCATGCCTGCAGAATCGCGAGCGACGGGGAGCGCTAAGATAGGTTGCTGGAACCACTTCATTTTTTGTTGGAACCTTTTTTTTTATTTTGCTGCAATTGATAGGTCGATGGTGCCGTCGCTGCCGTGACTTCTTTTGCTACATCAATTTTGTTGCTAGAACCACATCTGATTTTTTGCTGGAACCCTTTTTCCTTTTTGCTACAAATTGACAGGATGTTGCCATCGCCGACATGATTTTTTGCTACAATTTTGTTTTTTTGCTGGAACCGTATTTGATATTTGCTGGAACCGTATTTGATATTTGTTGGAACCAGCATTTGATTTTGCTGTAGTAGGCGAAGATGACGCTCGGGTGGCAATGAACGGTGGCGCCATGTGTTTATTGCTGGAACCACTTAAGATCTTTGCTGGAACCCCTTCTCTATTTTGCTACAAATCGAGAAGATGTTACCATCGCTTTTCATTACATTTTTGTTTTTTGCTGGAACTATATTTGAATTTTGCTGGAAGTAGCAATCGTTTTTGCTACAACCAGCCGAAGCAGAGCTGGAACTGTTGTGGTGAGGCTGCACCCTGGCACGATGGCGTCGGCGGCGGGAGTGTCCACCGGAGCTGCAAGCAGGCGGAGCGAGGTAGACGGAGGCGGAGGAGAAGGCAGAGGCGGGAGGGCTCACCGGGAGGCAGAGGCGGAGTCAGGACGGAGTTAATCCCGTGGGTGGACGAAACCGAAACGCCAGATCGAACGGGTATAATAGCTAAAATCGGACGGCTGCGTGTCGACCGGCCCAAATTGAGCCGGTCGACCGGCGCCTAGTTCTCGCCTTGTTCAAATAACGACATGATGGATGGAACTTTTGATTATGAACACACTTTGTATGAGCATTCGGCGTAACAAAATTGCAGCTTAATTTGTGGGGCAAATGATATATATATGGTCCATGCCACAGGCTAAGCTTTTGGCCCGTCAGAGATGAGTACATTTCTTTTCTATCCAAACGATTCATGTCTTACTTACTACTTGTCCTCTTTTCTTCTTCTTCTCCTCTTCCACTCAAGAGACATCATTCAAATTCAAATACTCATCAATATGAAGGGCCGACCACACCTGCCGTGTGGTGCTAACACTGCCCGGGGAGCGACTTATAAACTAGCCCTGCTTGACCCAGCTAAGCGGTATGGTACTAACAAAAGCTAAACACAACGCTCCATCTGCGGCAGCACGGTTGGGCCATAGCTCTGTATTTGTAGATTGAAGTGTTTACAGGCCACGGCCCAGGAGGATTTTTTTTCACGGGCACGGAATCTGCTTCGTTGATGCCGTGTGTATGTGCCTGTCTCTGCATACCACAATACATGCTACAGGCAGGAATTTCTCCTTGCTCAAAAAAAAAAGCAGGAATTTCTCAACAAAAAAAACGCTAGAGCATGAAATTTCTTTCAAGTAAATAAATACCATTGGTAAGTGGAAACGAGAGTACTACAAGGTGCAGCCTCGTGAACGTATACCGATCCGGCGTCTAGCAGGATGCGAGAGTGAACAGCAGGGGAGGATGATCAGCCTCAATACACAAGTTCAAGTTACAGGTAAAACGGTGGCTAATCCCTTAGCGCCCGCCTTGGCCCACAGGCGAGCATCATCCTTGATCAAGAGGACGAGGTCGTAAGCCATCAAAGACGGCCGCGTTACGGTGCTTCCAAACAGCCCAGGCAGAGATGCAGGAGAACAAACTGAACGGGCTCTGCTCCACAACACACTAAAATGTATTCCCGGCTTTTCTTTCATGCGACGAAGGAAAAGGGAGCGATTTATCTCATCTTAGAAACAGACCAGAAAACACATGACATGACATCCAGGTCAACTTTCATCTCCATTATACCATGGCTGCCGATACAGATTCAATCAACAAGATCAACTATTCAATAACCAAACTTAAGCTGAAACGTTGGGCAAATAGTCTATCACCCGACCAACGGTCAAGCCAGAACAGGGTGTTGGTGCCTGTCCCCACCGAGATGGATGTTCCAATCCGTAGGACCGGCATAAGCTGGATGACGGCTTGCCAAAACTGGGAGCCACCCGTCCGGGAGGCGAAGGCAAGGGGTTGTCCACGCAGGTACTTTGCGCGGATAATCTGGAGCCATAGGCCCCCATCTCCTGCCTCAATGCGCCATAACCATTTGGAGAGCAAGGCTATGTTCATCCGCTTGGACGAGATGACGCACAAGCCACCTTGGTCCTTTGGCTTGCAAACCTCAGACCATTTCACCATGTGATATTTCTGTCTATTATCTGGTCTCGCCCAGAAGAAATGAGACAAATACTTGGTGACTTTCTGGTGAAGGGATTCATGCAAACTATAGAATCCCATCAAGAACATAAGCAGGCTAACTAAGGAGGAGTTCATCAATACGACCCGGGCCGCCTTGGAGAGTCACCGCCCCTGCCATGGCTCGACCCTATGCTGAAGCTTGGACACACCTCCATATTGGTTTTCTCTGCGTGCAACATTTGCCAGAGCAGAGGCCTGCCATGCCTGACTTTGTGGCAATGCTAACCAACACCGGCACACACCTCCCCATGCCAAGCAACCCCACGGCCAACGGCGGAGCTGGCCCCTCACGCACAGCCAATGTCAAATGACACGCCCGGACCGAGCCGGACCCCGTGACCGTCCATCGCTTGAACAGTTTGTGATATCTTGGGACGAAAGTGAAATCATTTACGTTTTGAGTTTCTCGTCATCCTCCATGCATGGCTTCATTGTGTTTCAGCTTATCAGGGTGATACGGTGAGAGTGTGTGTAATAGGAATATGTTTCAGACAGTTGCAGCATTTCTAACTTAGTCTCGTAACACTGGACTGGATGTCGCCTTCATTTATCCTTTTTCCTTTCAGGGTATGTGTTTAAATCACGACATGCTTTTAAGTTTGTGAGGCAAATGCTATATATAGTCCGTACCACAGGCTAAGCTTTTTGGGCCAAGAGAGATGAGTACCGTAGCAAGTGGAACATGGATCAGAGACTAGTAACACTAACACGATGCACTGCAGCTTCATTTCTACCCAAGGAAAAAAAATCCCATGATCGGAAGAAGAAAGATGATTAAATTTATGGTGTATATGTATATGTAAGAAAAACTTGCTTGTCATCTTTCCTTCTTCTCCTCTTCCACTCAAGAGACATCATTCAAATTCAAATACTCATCAATATGAAGGGCTGACCACACCTGCCGTGTGGTGCTAACACTGCCCGGGGAGCGACTTATAAACTAGCCCTACTTCACCCAGCTAAGCGGTATGGTACTAACAGAAGCTAAACACAACGCTGCATCTGTGGCTCCACGGTTGGGCCATAGGCCCATAGCTCTTTTTTTTTTGAGAGAGAGAGATAGGCCCATAGCTCTGTATACTCTGGGTGTCCAGGAGGACTTTTTCCCGGACTCGGAATTTAACGTCGTGTACAAGGCGCTAATTATTTCTTGTACGTATGAAGTGAAATTTGCCACACATTGACTTCACAGCAGACAGAGAGTATGCAACATACAGTAGTACGTACTAGCTTGCATATCAATCTTGCAAAGCTCCTGCACGAGCACCATCAGTATGGCCAGGAGGGAGATCCATGAGTGGGTACTAGCTAGTCTACGAGCGGATGGAGAACACCATGTTTGTATATCTATACATGTTTCCTACTCACTATATCTATACATGGTTTGTAAATGCGGGGGAACAAAACTGAACGGGTTCCACTCCACAACACGCTAAAATGTACTCCCAGCTTTTCTTTCTTGTGATAGAAGAAAAGGGAACAATTCATCTTATCCCAGAAATAATAAAGCAGAAAACACATGTTACGAGTGGCATATATTACAGCCCAGGCAGTTAGGGGCCTGGCCCAGTTATCTTATCGTGTTAGCGGCTTAGCCCAATTATATCACTAAGAGGATTATATAAACTCATGTAAGGACCCGTTTTGAGATTAAGCAAGAAGCACATAATTTAATTGCTCGGCTTCCTTAGGGAGCCGGGACACCTAACCCTAGCCTCCTCCTGTCCTACGCCATCTCCTCCCTGCCACAGCCTCCACCGCGCAAGGACGGCGCCCAGCCGTCGGCCGCCGCGCCCTAACCTTCGTCCTCCTCCATCCTTCCCCTACAATTTCCATCCTAGAACCAACAGAACCCTAGCTCCTAACAACACATGACATGACATCCAGGTCAACTTTCATCTCCATGGCTGTCGATTCATGTTCAATCAACCAGATCAACTATTCAATAACCAGAGGCTACGTAAACATCCGGAGTTCAAAATTACAGTAAAAACAAGAAGCAGCTTCAAATAGCAGCATATGTGGTCTTTGTCCCACTTTTGTCGCTTTGGAATCCGAATTAGTGCATTTGGAATTTTGGATGAACTTCGGACAGACCCAATGGCCCAGATAATTCAAATTATGCATCCTTGGTTTTGGTCATAATTACTTGCAACAGTCGTGCTTTGCCTACTCAACAGAAAATAAAAAGGATTTGATAGCGGTAGCTCTGCAAGAAGCCACTAGCAGTACATTTATGATAATGGCTTCATCCATTTCGCAAGGTCTTGCACTCTTGCTCTTGAGCGGCGCATATCAGGCATCAGTGATCTCCGCCAGGGATGGAAACGTACCACGATCTGAAAAGTTATTATGCACAAAAATCAAAACCAACATTCCAACCCAGCATTTACAGCTTGATTTGTTATATACAAGTACAGCATAATACGAGATCAAAAAAACGCTTCACAAAATAGTAGAAAATGATCTCCAGATGTGAGCTTCAGATATACCAGAATAACAATAGAATAGTTCTGAAAAGATTATCTGAAACAAAGTAAGAAATATCATATGAGATTTAAAAGTTTGCATGCATATTTGTATTTTTACCAATGCAGTCCATAATAACAATTGAAATCGCAGAATTCAAATTAAGGTTAGTATCCGATGGACATGTATTCAGTTTGCACTAGCAAACACACATGGTCTGTGGCAATCTCTACATGTGAAGATAACAACTACTCCCTCCGTCCAAAAATACTTACTTACTTACTTACTTACGAAGCCTTTTATCCCAAACAAGTTGGGGTAGGCTAGATATGAAACCCTTTCACGAGGACTTCCCAGGAGGTCACCCATCCTAGTACTACTCTCGCCCAAATGGGTTTCATACCCAAAAGACTGGCTAGTTTTTACGTTGGCTCGCCAAGCCTATCACAACCCTTAGATATGAAACCCTTTCACAAGGACTTCCTAGGAGGTCACCCATCCTAGTACTATTCTCGCTCAAATGGGTTTCATACCTATGGGACTGGCTAGTTTTTACGTTGGCTCGCCAAGCCTATCACAACCCTCCTCCTTTACCCGGGCTTGGGACCGGCTATGCCTAGAAGACATAGACACTTATTTTGGGACAGAGGGAGTAATAATTACAGCTTGACTTTATTGAAGCTGTTCACAAACCAGAACCAACAAACTATGCAGACACAGATACAGTAAAGAAAATGCAACGCAAAAGATATGTATGAGGTTGTTGTACTATTTAGCAAACAGCTAGCGCCCACTTCACTCTTCATCGATTACATCAAACTTCACATTTTTGTAGTCAGTAGTATTTTAGTTTTATCTCGGTGTTCCCTGTTATGACAGGCTTGGAGTAGTGTTTTTCTGTTCTCTATTTCCTTCCCCTTCCCATCGTATGGACATTCTTATTCCTTCTGTAGTACAATGATGTGCGGTTCTTCTAAGCATTCAAGAAAAGAAAAGTATTTGACCACTCAATGGCTCTAGAGAAAAGTAGAAACTTAAGGGCTAGTGATGCAATTGGGCTTCCCATGGGCTGATCTATATAATAGCAGAAGAAGAACAACCAGACTTAACTCCAAAAGAAAAGAAAATAAAAACACAAATTAGGACTCAGATCCTAGCATCTCCAATTGTATGTCCAAAAGGTTTGGTGCTGATACTTGATAGCACTTTTGGAGGCAACAATAATACTGTAATTGAGTTATATTAAATTTCAGGAAAGAGAAACAACATAGAGTAAACATTACTTTAGTTCCAAGTAACTGAATCGAGCATAGACCAAGCAGTACTCTAATATGCCTGACATAATAAACTGAAGTACAATATTTTGACAGTACGATCAGGGTGGATTCAACGAGACAGCCCCAATTGATTGTAGTGACTTCCACGGTAACAATGTGCCACGATCAGAAAAGATACCATGCACAAAAACTCAGAAGTAACTGTCCAACTAGCATCCTACATTGAAGAACTAAGTGCTTGTACTCATTACAAGTGTTACAAGACTAAGTTGAGGTGTGAACTTCAGCTATGCCAGAAAATAACAAACTGTTTAAAAAAAATCTGAAGCAAGGTAACAGGGTAATACTACATCAACAGATTTTGTCAACATATTTTGCAATTCCACTAGTGCTTGGTCGTGCTCCTTAACAAGTTAAATCTCATAGCGAACATCCTCTGTTTTCCAACGTCATATAATCAATTTTAAGTAGCACATACAGAGCTTGCCTCAAACAGTACTTACATTACAAGCAAAATTATAGATGCTGTAAAGAAATCGCAGGATAATGGACAAGAAGGGCTAGTACCATACCTGGAGTATAGAAGCTCATGTAGGGTAGGACGCTGAAGTAGACCCCAGACTCGGCAACCTTCTTAACCAGCCCAGAATCTAGCTTGATTGTGAATAAGCCAACACCGGTGCTAACGAATATGACACCCACACCCTCTGCACATCCAACCACAAATGGTTTGTCATCAGAATTGGCAACAGGTATAACACTCTCCAGCTGGATGGCCCTGCGCTGTACCCATTCTGCATCTCCTTCTGCATTCACCTTTCTTGACCACAGGTGAAGGCTGGAACCCTCAACGCAGGCAAACCCCAGTGAACTGTCCTCCATCACCATGAGGGCGACCTTGTCGACAGCCTTTTTTTTGACACCAACGTTGTACACACACTTTGTTGGCGGATCAATGAGGGATATGTGATTCTTGCTCCAGTTATATTTGACGACTGGGTTACCGTAGCGAAGGGTGAAGTAGGCTTCATCTCCAATAACGGCGCCCCGCCTAGGCTGGACATAGGGCGTGTAGTAGAATCCAGCAGCAAGGGCATCTCGCCTATGCTGGACATCACAGCCAGCGTCCATTGTCACCGGCGTGCTCCACGCACCTGTCTCTGATGAGTACACTGCGGCCTTGATTAGATCTGTGCAGTCTTCGGTGACCAGAAAGACAACCCGGAAGGGGCCGCCGTGGCAGTCAAGGTGGTCGCAGCCGGGCACGGCGCAGAAGACGGCGGCGGAGTAGATGAGCTTCGGGATGCCAGGCTCCGGGAAGCGGTGCTGCTCGCCCGTGACGGGATCCCAGACGATGAAATGCCAGGACCCGACCCCCACGTGGAGGAGGACGCGGCCGTGGCGGCAGTCGAGGGGGCGCGTGCGGCAGAGGTCGGGGTAGGGCGAGAGGGGCGCCGCTGTGGTGGGGGCGAGGCGGGCGGCGGGGTCTCCTTCGAAGACCTGGAGCCTGTGGAGGAGGCCGAGCAGGGGCGGCGCCCGGTGGAAGACGCTGTAGCGGCGGCGGAAGGAGGGGTCGCGGAGGACGCGGAGCCAGGGCTTGCAGACGAGGGCGGCGCGGAAGAGGTGCTCGGGCTCGTCCGGCGGGAGGCGGAGGAAGATCTCGGCGGTGACGTCGTCCATCAGCGACACCATGGACGGCGGAAGCGAGGGTTTTGGGTGGGGATTGGGGGATTGGGGAGCGGAGCGCGGCAGCCAGACTCCTTTCACCTACTCGGTTGGGTTCCAACAGAACGGCTTGACCACCGTTTTCACTCTTATGTGTTCCTCTAGCATAGCATCTACAGCCGGGCACCTCGTACCCTGTCGCTCATCGGCCATTCATGATTTTTTTTATTCAGACGAACGTCTCAAACGGGCATTAAATGTCTGGACTGACTAACATCCATCATGTCCAATCCAAACTCGTCTCCGGCGACTTCCGGTCGTTTTCGGCATGGCGGGCAGCGGATCCGAGTCCTTCACCTCCAGATTCGTCGACCCTGAGCTCATCACACGCGGCCGCGAGTAGGAGATGGCCGTCCGCCTTTTGCTCCACCCTGCCCGGGAGGACGCCCGTGCACAGCAGGACTCGGACTCCATCCTCGAGAATCCATCGCGTCCGCCCAAATGACGCATGAATCCGGCGCTAGGCCAGTCGTAGTTGCCTCGTCGAATGCGGTGCGGTGTGTCTGGCGTCCGAACATGGTGGCGGACACGCAACCCCTCTTTTTTGCGCGCTGAGCATCGGAGCACACCATGGGCCTCGTCCGACGAGAACATGGCACGGCAGACCGGGCGCGGGAGGCAGCGGCAGCCCTCGTGGTGGTGGACGTCGGCGAGGCGGAGTCGCATTCTCCGGCGACCGTATGGCGCATCAGTCCGGGCGCCACAACCGCATCATGGTGGACATCAGTGGCTTGCCCCAGGACGGATTCATCATCGATCTGACGTCCACCGGCACCGTTCGGGGTCCGGGCTCCGATGAGGAAGATTAGGGCATGGGATATGGTGGTGCCTTGAGTCCCGTGAGCCGGCTCGTGTCCCGTGCCCTACTCTACCTTGACGAGGATCGGACCAACACTCTGAGGGGCGCAGCCAGCCGCCGGACTTGGCCAGGGCGGAGCCGGGTGAGCGGGGAGCGGAACCGGACGAAGCTCCGCTCAAAGATCTTTGTGTTGCATATAATAATATGGATTTGAGGTTTCTAATTTGAGGTATCCAGATGTGGAATGTGTTTTTCGAGACGTAATCAGTCACTGTCCACGAACGCGCATGGGCGCGTCCGCGAGCGTTTGAGGGGTCGGTTTTGCCAAATCCGGCTGTAGATATTCTAAGGCCATCATCAATAGCAGACCTATGTTAGGGTCTAACTGTTTTTTAGGCTTTGAATGAAGATAAAAAAAGCACTCTTCAACAACCCCAAAGGGGCCTTGCTGCAAATTTTTGCCAAAAGTTTTTTTGAACAACCAATAAATTGGCAGGGCAGGCTACGTATTTGTGGCACGCTGGCTGCTACCCAAACCAAAAAACAGCCGCACGTGGATGCCCAACTGTCGCTTGGATATTCCTCCCTAGTCGTGCCACCTCTGCCTCTGACTATCGTTGCTCTAATTTTGCCCGACGACGAAACCACCACCGGCCCGCATCCATCTTGCGGCTCTGCCGCTTCGGACACGTGTCAAAGCCCAGCCACGTTGTCGAATCGAGATCCGACAAAGCACCCCCCCTCCCCCGCCCCCCGATTCTGATTGGTTGTCGGCCCTTAGCCACCCGTCATGGTCGTCGCTGCTCCTCTGCGGATCATAGCCCCGACAAGCGGCCACCAAAGCTCCGGCGTTGGCCACGCGACAACTGCGACCAAGCACATCCTTGGTTGCTTCGAACGGCGCCCACGACACATCACTAGTAGAAAAAGGACCTAATATGAGACACATTAGTGCCGGTTTGATTTTGAGCCGGCACTAATGTGTCCAATAGTACCGGTCCCAACGGCTAGCCGACCGTTCTCATTAGTACCGGTTCGTGGCGAACCTTTAGTACCGGTTCGTGCCACGAACCGATACTAAAGAGAGTGGTGGCAGGGTGTTGTCAGTCTGGGGCCCCTCCAGCACCTTTAGTACTGGTTCGTGGCACGAACCGGTACTAAAGGTCGACCTACATAAACCCTTCGTCCACCCGAGCCACTCTGTTCTTTCCCTTTCCCCTCACTTCCTCTGTTCTTCCCCTCTCTTCCTCGAGCTCCTCACAAATTTTTCCCAAAATTTGTCAAGATTTGAAGGCCCCCATCCATTCAAATGATCACAAAGGTTAGCAACTTTGTCCTTTCAACTCTCATTGCTAGATTAGCTCTTGCAATGCTTTGTATAGTGATTAATTTGGAAGGAATTATATTTGCTAGTATTTGATTGCAATTTATATGCAATTTGAGGTCAAAAATAACACTTAGTTTGCATATGTAGGTGTGGTTTACTTAGTGCCTTCTAAATCTCCGTCGTAACCACCGTCGATCGCCCGCACCGTCCCGTCGCCGGCACCACCTTGTGGTGAGGCTCTTGTTCATGAATGTTTTACATTACCAAATTGATGTTTGTGTGATTTGGATATATAGTTACTTGTATAATTATCTTACCCATACGCTGTTTGTTATACATAGTGCCATGGTTTTGATATCCGTCCCCGTCGGCCCTCGTCCTTGTTATGATTCGGATGTGGTATATTCTCATTTAAAACCAGTTGTTGCATTTCGTGTTTATGACAAATTATGCCCATCAAGTTGACATAGATATTTTTATCTAGGAGGTATGTGAACTGGAAATTCCAACCGACCCTATTGTCGAGAGGTTAAATTTAGTTGAAAGAGAAAATGAGTATTTGAAAGAAAAATTGAAAAGAATTGAGGGGGAGAAGATGGAATTGGAGTTGCATGTTGCCGATGTCGTCGATGATCACAAGATCAAGATGGAGAAAATGAGGTTGAAGATTAGAAAGATTAGAAAATATGCCATTGATAGTGTGGCTTGGTATCATTATGTTGTTGGATCAATTGTTACCTTAATTGCGATCTTCATCGCATTTGTTGTTGCATTTAAATTCTTTAGCTAGAGAGTTATTTGTATGTTGCATTTAATTAAGTGTTGTATATGAACTTTATGTATGAACTTGTATTAATTTGGTCTATTTGGTGTTGTGTAATGAAGATGAGCCGACAATGGATGTATGATGACAGATGCTCTCCCGAGTTCATTAATGACATGCATACTTTTCTGCTTGCCGCTGAGGCAAACAAGCGGGCGGATGGTTTTATGCCTTGTCCATGTGCTGGCTGTAAGAATGGTCACAGTTACTCTACGTCAAGAACCATTCACGTCCACCTATTTGAGTCCGATTTCATGCCCCACTATAATGTTTGGACCAAGCACGGAGAAATAGGGGTTATGATGGAAGATAATGAAGAAGAAGAGGACGACGATGGCTATCCTGGCCATGGGTTCCCTGAATACGATGATACAACAATGGGGGAAGAAGCTGAGCCGGCAATGCAGAAAGAAGCTGAAGAAGAGGCATCAGATGAGCCCGCTGATGATCTAGGTCGGGCCATTGCCGATGCAAAGAGAAACTGCGCAAGTGATCTGGAGAGGACGAAGTTGCAGCGCATGTTAGAGGATCACAAGAAATTGTTGTACCCGAATTGCGAAGCTGACAAAAAAAAGTTGGGCACCACACTTGAATTGTTGCAATGGAAGGCAGAGAATGGTGTATCTGACAAGGGATTTGGAAAGTTGCTGGTAATGATAAAGAATATGCTTCCAAAGGACAACGAATTGCCCGAGAGTACGTATGAAGCAAAGAAGGCTGTCTGCCCTCTAGGGTTAGAGGTGCAAAAGATACATGCATGCCCTAATGACTGCATCCTCTACCGCGGTGAGTACGAGGATTTGAATGCTTGCCCGGTATGCGGTGCATTGCGTTATAAGATCAGTCGCGATGACCCTGGTGATGTCGAGGGTGAGCGCCCCAGGAACAAGATTCCTGCCAAGGTGATGTGGTATGCTCCTATAATACCACGGTTGAAACATTTGTTTCAAAACAAAGAGCATGCGAAGGCGATGTGATGGCACGCAGAAGACCGTAAGAAAGACGGAAAGTTGAGAGTACCCGCTGACGATTTGCAGTGGAGAAAAATCGAGAGAAAGTATTGGGAGGAGTTTGCAGGTGACCCAAGGAACGTATGGTTTGGTCTAAGCGCAGATGGCATTAATCCTTTTAGGGAGCAGAGCAGCAACCATAGCACATGGCCTGTGACTCTATGTTTGTATAACCTTCCTCCTTGGTTGTGCATGAAGTGGAAGTTCATTATGATGCCAGTGCTCATCCAAGGCCCTAAGCAACCCGACAACGACATTGATGTGTACCTAAGGCCATTAGTTGAAGAACTCTTACAACTGTGGAATGGAACAGGTGTACGTGCGTGGGATGAGCACATGGGGGAAGAATTTGACCTAAAGGCGTTGCTGTTCGTGACCATTAATGATTGGCCTGCTCTCAGTAACCTTTCAGGACAGACAAACAAGGGATACCGCAGATGCACGCACTGTTTGGATGATACCGACAGTATATATTTGAATAGTTGTAAGAAGAATGTGTACCTGGGACATCGTCGATTTCTTCCGAGCAGGCATCCCGTAAGAAAGAAAGGCAAGCATTTCAAAGGTGAGGCGGATCACCGGAGGAAGCCTCGCCACCGTACTGGTGCTGATGTACATGATATGGTCAAGGATTTGAAGGTAATCTTTGGAAAGGGTCCTGGCGGACAACCTGTTCCGAAAGACGCTGACGGACGCACACCCATGTGGAAGAAGAAATCTATATTTTGGGACCTGCCATATTGGAAAGACCTAGAGGTACGCTCCGCAATCGACGTGATGCACGTGACGAAGAATCTTTGCGTGACCCTGCTTGGCTTTTTGGACATGTATGGGAAGACAAAAGATACACCAGAGGCACGGGAGGACCAGCAACGTATGCACGGAAAAGACGAAATACATCAGGGTCAGGCCAGCTACGCTCTTACCAAAGAAGAGAAGGAAATCTTCTTCGAATGCCTGCTCAGCATGAAGGTACCGTCTGGCTTCTCGTCGAATATAAAGGGAATA